AACCTCAGCATCCCTGTTGCAGACAGCAGTCGGAGACCCCTCCACCCCCAGCAGGACCAAGCCCAGGATGCAGCAGGCACGTGCATGGAGCAGCTGATGGCTGCTCAGCCCCTTCTGTGGTCCCCAGGCTGGAGGGGACAAACTGCCACCCCCTACAGTCAAGAGCAATGGGGAAAGACTCACGAGTCCTGCCCACAAAACTGCTTAGCTGGACAGTAGCATGCTGGGGCAGTCTGGGCAAGGAGAGGGCTTTGCTGTGGCCAGTGTGCTCCTGGCCGTCACCAATATTCACGTGGGTGCTCAGCAGAGGTGTCTGCGCAGAGCTTTGCACGTGGGGGGGGGTTGTCCCAAAAGTCTCCGCCTAGGATTAAATGAGAGAAAAAAAGCAATCGGTAAAAAGGAGTCAGATTCACCTGGTCAGTCCCAGCGAAGAAGGTGGTGTCTGGAGACCCAGCTCTGGGAAACCAGCTGACAGCAAGCTCTTCCAGCCGGCCCACACGCAAGGAGGTGCAGCTTGAAGCCTTGGCAGGCAACTGCAATCTTGACCGTGCTGCATTCATCACTTTAAATCAGCTCAGGTAGCCATGATGTGCATCCCATCGGCTCTGAGCAACCCCTGTACAAGAGACAACTGCGACGCTTTTTCCCTCTGAACAAATAGTGTGGCCGAATCCCAGAACGACAGAATAGCTGAGGTTGGCAGGCGCCTCTGGAGATGAACTAGTCCAAGCCCCTGTTCACACAGGGTCACCTAGAGCAGGTTGCCCAGGACTGTGTCTGGGTCCAGTTGTTCAGCCAGTTTTCAACCCATGAAACTGATAAATCCACTTATCTAACCCATACTGTGTCAGCTTCTCTATGAGGGTGCTATGGGAGATGGTATCAAAAACCTTAGTAAAGTCAAAGTAGACAACACCCACTGCTCTCCCCTTGTCCACCAAGCCAGTTACCTCATTGCAGAAGGCTGTCAGGTTGGTTAAGCAGGATTTCTTATTCATAAATCCATGCTGACTCCTCCCGATCACCTTCTTGCCCTTCATGTGCTGGGAGATGGTTCCCAGGATTAGCTGCTCCATCACCTGCCCAGGGATCGAGACGCGGCTGACTGCCCTGTAGTTCCCTGGGTCCTCCTTCTTGCCCCTTTCTGAGGATAGGAGCTCTCCTCCAGTCTTCAGAAACCTCTCTCAGTTGCCACAACCTTTCATCAAGAGTGGTCTCGCCATCCTGTCAGCCAGCTCCCTCAGGACTCATGGGTGCATCCTCTCAGGGCCCATTGGCATGTCCACTTTGCTTAAGTGCTGCCTAACCTGATCCTCTCCCACTGAGGGAGTCCTCCTTGCTGTGGACTTTCTCCAGGCCCTTGGGCTGCTGAAGACCAGTCTTACTGGTAAACCTAGAGGTGGAGAAGGCACTGGGTGCCTTTGTCACCAGGTCCCCCACCCATTCAGCAGCGGTCTCAAAGGACGATATTCAGCCACATAGGCCTGGGATGGATTGAAACGTGGAAGAATAAATTATAACGAGCAGCAAGGCTGTTGAGAGGACCAGTGTGCCACTTGAGGTCTTGAAAATACAAGGCTACATGCATCCAGCGGGAAGAAGCTTGCTCTGAGACGCAGCAGCAAGCGCCTGAGGTCTGCAAGCACCAAGCCATTTGCAGCCACATTGAAAGCCACACTGACCTTTAACAGCTTCAAAGAGCAAACAAAGAAGAGCCTGAGGGGCAAAGCCCTGTGAAGAAGCTGCTCAGAGAAGGAAATGCAAAGGCGGAGGCAGCTGGTAAGTCTGCAGTGTGGGCTAGAGACAGGGACGGGAGACACAGCGCAGATGGATACCAAATTTCTTCTGTGGTGGGAGCTCAGGGTGAGCAAAGAGGTGGAGAGGAGAAGGTGCAAACAGGGAAGCATGAAGAGCATCATGGAAGAAATGTGGCGAGCCTTTTCTCCTCTCGCTCCCCCCCGCCCCCCCCATTAATTTCTGCAGTTTCCGCTCCGTTTTGCACGCTGCGTGCTCTCCCTCCTGCAGAGGTGAGACCCTGCAGGCGCTCGGTCTCCGGAGCTGTGGGTTTGCTGCGAGGACTTCACAGCCACTCAGCTGCGCGAGGCAAGCGTAGGGCCTGCTTTCTCCTCCACCAGGCTAAACTTGCAGGCTACCAAAGAAGCGCGGAGTTTCAACAGCGCGATGCCACAAATGCAGTTGTCCCATTAGCATATTAGCCAGCACCGAGGGCAGGCCCAGGCAAGCCTCATCAGCGCAAAACTGCCCGTAATTAGCACTAACGCAGCACCTTGCCAGCCGCCAGCAGACACTTGCCTCTCTCCGGAGGTGCATGGATGTACTGCCGGCCAGCTCAGCGGTCTGGTGGGAAGAGCAGCCGCTGGTGGCAGGGACGCATGGGCTAAAGCGAATATACCAAAGCTCGGGAGCTCCAGAGCAGGCACGTGATAGAAGAGCCTGTTTTTCCTGGTTGACACATTTGGCAAATGACATGCACGTTACACAACTGACAAAAAAAACCCCAACCCAAACCAAAGAGCGCAAGGGGCACCTCACTTCCAGAATCAGGCGCTGAAGTTCCTGTTAAACCCATCACCCCAAATCCTGGGCCTCCAGCCCAGCCAAAAGACGGCCTTCCCCCTAAGCATGCCTGAGGCAGGCTGAGCATGGCAGAAATTGAGTTTTGGCTCAAAACAAGAGGGGAAAAAAAGCAAGTGAGTTTCCAGAAAGAAACTAAGCTCAGTCTTCCTACGGGCATGTTAAAGCAAAAACGAAACCTGCAGATCTTCTGTGAAACGTCCAGGAAGCTGCTGCAATTGCCCTTTGGCTCTCGATGAGCCCCCTGAGGCCCCTCCGCCCCCCTCCTCCTCACCCGGCCAGAGAGGGGCCGGCCCCGCTGCACGGCTCCTGCCCACCAGCAGGAGGGTGCCCTCCTCACCCTCCACGCCAACGACTCCAGCCCCAGAGTCTTTCAAAAGCTGGTGCTAGCTATCGGTGGGGAATACACCTAAAGAGACAGCAGATTCCACCCCTGGGGAAAGGGCCTTTCGCAGGAGTGGCTCTAATGAGGCTGAGTGGGATCAGTAAGCCACACGAAACATGGTACGCCTTCATGCTACGGCTCGCCAAGCCCCACACCAGCATCCTGCTCGGAGTTAAGCCTTGTACCACGAGCACTTCATATACAGAAACGCGCCAGCCCATCGGCCGAATTTTGCCAGATAGCTCCGTTTTCCAAGCCCAAAATAAAATCGGTACGAGATCGACCTGCCAGCGTGGCACAGCAGCTCGGCGGTGGGGTGATCTCCCGGGCTGTGCTCCTTTATCTATCTGACCCGTCACATGCCTATATATTCTCGCACAGAGCCGCAGCAGTTGGTCTGTGTCAAACATACTTGGTTCCTCTTCCCCTCTACCTCCCAACCTTACCAAAAAGCAGAAGGATAAAGCAAAATTCTGCAAGATCTTGCAAAACTTCACTTTCTGCTGTTTTCAGCCTACCTCAGGGATAATTAGGGAGAGATCTGTCTTTCCGCTGGTCGCCGAAGTATAATTTCATTCTAAGAGGGAAGTTGCTATCACCTAGCTGGTTGCTTAACCCATATCCCATTTTTATACTCCCAGCAGCCTGTCACACAAAGTGTCAAAAGTTTCTCTTAGCTGGACTCACTATTAAGGAAGACTGTCGGTCACAGCTTACCTCATTTCTGTGGCTCAAGAAAACGTTCAAACCAGGCCTGGGTCCTGAGCATGTCCTGGTTTGTGTCCTCCCTTGCCCTTGCATGCTCCCCAGGGGTGGCGTTTCCAAAGTCCTTCAGCAGTGGGGCAGAGGCAGACCCCCAGCTCTGCCGGGAGGACTGGCAGTAAGGCAGTGACCACACGCGCTTTAGCCTAAGGAGCGAAAGCCGTATTTCCTGTGTGCTTATTTGCTGCTTCTTCACTTTTTTAGTACTTTCATCTCTCCTGCTACCTAAGGCCTCACATTAACCACAGCAGTAGATCTGTCTTCACCTAATGCAAGTTTTCAGCTTTTGTGGCTTCACTGAACCACAAAACGCTTCTGCTTTCTGGAGCAAAGCTCTGCCATCGCGAATGCCGGCAGGGCTTTCCAAGAGCGGAGCAGCCAGGCCATGAGGCGGGTCTTCCACCCGCTGCCGGGAGAGGGGCTGGAGGACACTCAGCTGGAGATGCAGGGGAGAAGAAAGCGAAAGCTGCGTGTGCCACTGCATACCCCTCTCCAGAAAAAAAAGGTTTCTTCCCTCGCGAACAGCAGACAGGACTGTTGGAGGCGGCCTCCGGTGCTGCTGGAGGTGTTGGGTGCTCTTTCCGTCCTGCCTGGAGGGAAGAGGGCAGGAGGGAAGGCGCAGCACCGGTGCGAGCAGACTCCTTGTGCTTTGGACACCGTCTTCAGCATCATCCCTCTTGAACATCATCCCAGCTGACAGAGGAGCACCCGAAAAGGGAGAGAGGCGGCGGCAGCAGTTTCCACGCTCTGTCCAAGGGAGTCCTGCCCTGCAGCCTGGCCATCACCGCATGCGCCGACAGCGGCTGCGGTGGGGTGATGCCAAGGGCTCTCCTCCTTTTGTAGCATCCATTTATTACTGACGGGGCCCCATGTTTTGGTACATACTAACTGGCTTTCCGTGAAACCCAGAGGGAAACAAACCCAATTTACGCCCTCACTGCATTTTAAAGGTGCCTGGAAACGCTGGCGCTGCTGGGGGAGACATGGCCTTTTAATTTTAAACTAGAATTATACAGCTCAGCCTTCTTCCACCCAGGCATACAGTTTTGAGGAAATGGCATTCGGTGCCAGGAAATCCATTGTACAGAAAGGCCCATCTCCTTGTGCTTCAAAGGGACATCTTGAAACAACAGTGGAGGAAGCTGTTGCCCTGGGATCCCGAGGCCAGGCAAATTTCATTGTAGGAAGAGTTTGCTCAACAATTACTTGGCATACCTATAAAAATAAGGACAACTTTTCAGGTAACAAAGGTTCTTCATATATTCTTTTAATGTGACAAGACTATTGGTAGTGAACCTGGGACACATGATTAAAATCCACTTAATGCTCTCCATTACCCCTCAAATTAAGGTGAGTTTATGGAATCAAGCTTCCCACGGACGAACTGTTGATTTGCCTTTGCCTTGGGCATCTTTCTCTTACACCAGGTGTCGTCGTACTCTCAGGAAGTCTCAAGGAGAAACTAAGATCAGCTCATCCCTCAAATTCAAGAGAGAGTGCAGTTCAAGGCAAACTAATGCACTTCTCTACTCTGTTGCTCCAAATCCTTTACAGCCCAGGTTCAGTGTGCAGAGCTGCTGGAGGGGGGGCACCGAGGGTACAGCATCAGCAGAGACAGCATCAGTGACAAAAACACCCCCTTCGCTTGAAGGCACGACCACCTTCTGCAAAGCTCCCGCTCGAGGCAGCTCCCGCAGTCAAACCGGGAGGTGGTAGGGTCCAGCGTCCGGTCCTGGCGGACCAGGAGACGTTACGGATATGTACACGACCTCCGGTGTCGGTCTCGGCTGCGGCTGTTCAAAGCTCTCTCCAACTGTGGCATAAGTGGTTGCCATGTCCCTCACCGCAGTGCTTTCCGTGAGGGACTCCTCCACACTCGAGACCTGGAGAAGCACAAGGAAAACGCCAAAGGTGAAAGCCTTCTCCAGAGGGTGTGCTGGGATCAGGAGGGGTCCAGAGCTACTGACCGCCTGCACGCAACGAGGAGCTGGCAGAGGCAGGAGCTACGTAAAGCCCAGATGGCTTTACCCACAACAGCAGTGGGGGAACGCTGGTCCCAGCCCCCCTACCCCATGGATGCAAAACCGGCTCAGCCCCTCAGGTACACTGGAGGGTGACATCTGCTTTGCCCCAGGACCTCTCAGACAAAACAGACACAGCCTGGAGAGCAGATGGGAGAGCTCGATGGACACTGGAAACAAGGATGAAAACCTTCGCTGAAGTTTTGTCACGGTTTCCAGAGCAGAGGGCACAGGGCGGGGAACCTACCCTCGACCTTGGCTGTTTTCACCGGAAAAAAATAATCACAAACCCCTCTTTGCTCTCTTTGTGTGGAAACAACCATAGGCCGGTAGGATCTGCAAGACATGCTCTCTGGAGTGCTCTAGTACTTCTGGGACGCCTGCCACCCCCACGGAGTCACCTTCCCCAGCACTACGTGGTGGGCAGAGAAATGACTCGAGCCACCCTGCTCTCACGTCTCCTTCCTAGGTTTCTTTGCCTCTTTCTCTCTGCATTATTTATTTTTCACAGGTAAAACTCTGGGTGAGATGAGCCCCCAGACCATCCACACCGATCCCTGAAGAGGTGCTTTAATGTAAATTCATGGGACTAGGAAGCAGGGAGGGGTGATTATCTGCACATTTCTCTGCATTTAACTGTTCTGCACTTTCCTTCGCTGCTGCTGGCCAAAGCTGTCCCAAGGCTTCCCAGCCGTGACGGTAAGGTTCCTGTTGGTTTGGGGTCTGACTGGGAGGGAGGTGGAGGGGAAGCGTGCAGCCGCAGCGCAGCTGGGGAAAGGGCAGGCGCTTTGCAGCCTTCCTTCCCTTACAGTAATGAATTCACTTCTTAATTTTATATCCAGCACCCGATTCCTCCAGCTCAGTACATCTTATTCAAGCCAGTGGTTAGCAGTGCACCCAGCTGCCTGTGCCCAAGAGCTTTCAGATTTTCCCCTGTACCTGCTGCTGTGTGATGATTCTCCTCTTCTTCTGCTGAGCCGCACCTAGGAAAAAGAGAGTTTTATTATCTGGCGGACACGCTGATGGCCTGCACATTCCTCCCTCCCAGCGCTGGAGAACCAGGGTCACTCTATTGGCACTTTCACCGGGGGGGGGATGTGGATTTTGCCTTTAAGATGGAGATTTCTGTAACTACTTTCTCTAAGTGCAGGCAAAACCTCCCCCTGGGAAAGAAATGAATTCGTTTCCTGACAGAGGCATCCTCAGGGATGAAGGTTTCGAAGACATCGCTGATGGAAGCTGTGGAGATACGCACCTTGTTGGCTTATTTTAAAGTGGAAACACCCCAAGGTATTCTCCCCAGCTGGAGTTTAAAGTAACTACAACAGAATAGTCATGGCCACATTTAGAAGATGCATTTCAGAGTCCATGACACTGTACCTCTTTTACAGACCAGGTATGTTGCAGTATCTTGATTCTGGTCTCGCCATCAAAAGGTACGAGTTCTCCAGAAAACCACTGCAACAGACCCGAGCTGTGCTTCTGCTTCGTTAAGCTGCGTTACGAACTTGAAATGCATTCAGCAACTCTTACGGCTGGAAGGAGGTGGCACATTTGAGGGGTGCTCTTACAGAAGGAATAATTTTGGTGTGAAGAGCAGAACCCAGGCAACTCCTGAGCCCTCCACTACCTTTAACACCCAAGAATATGCCTGGGCAAGCTGGAGGATGCAACCTGGAAGGGTAAAAAGCAGGAGCAGATCCACTCACCCCGGAGCCGTATGCAGCAGAAGAGCAGGAATAGCAGGAGGGAGATTGAAGAACAAATTCCAATTGCACAGTAATGCAAGACCAGGATGTGGTCTTGCTCCACGGCGTCTGCTGTTCGAAATAAACCAGGTGCTGTAAGTGTTTTCTAAACAACTG